AAATGACAAAAATATTCACCAAAATTAGAAAATTAAAGATATCATTACAAAATGAACAAATCTGAGAGAGGTCCACATGTAGTACCTATATATGTAATATCAAAGCAATTGCACTTGTGGTTTTCAACAAGAAGTCGAAAATATCACTTTTTACCAAAAATGACAAAAATATTCACCAAAATTAGAAAATTAAAGATATCATTACAAAATGAACAAATCTGAGAGAGGTCCACATGTAGTACCTATATATGTAATATCAAAGCAATTGCACTTGCGGTTTTCAACAAGAAGTCGAAAATATCACTTTTTACCAAAAATGACAAAAATATTCACCAAAATTAGAAAATTAAAGATATCATTACAAAATGAACAAATCTGAGAGAGGTCCACATGTAGTACCTATATATGTAATATCAAAGCAATTGCACTTGCGGTTTTCAACAAGAAGTCGAAAATATCACTTTTTACCAAAAATGACAAAAATATTCACCAAAATTAGACAATTAAAGATATCATTACAAACAGAACAAATCTGAGAGAGGTCCACATGTAGTATCTATATATGTAATATCAAAGCAATTGGACTTGCGGTTTTTAACAAGAAGTTGAAAATATCACTTTTTACCAAAAATGACAAAAATATTCACCAAAATTAGAGAATTGAAGATATCATCATGAAATGTTGATAAAATCTGAGAGAGGTCCACCAAAGGTACATATACATTAAGTATCAAAGCATTCAGGCTTGTAGTTTTCAAGAAGAAGTCGAAAAAGTAAAACATTGACACAGACGACGACAATCACTCATATGATAAGCTCCGCTTGACAAAGTCGACAGCGGAGCTAAAAAATCACCTCAGTGCCTCATTTTTGAAAAACAATTTACCAGAAATATTTTTCTTTTTTTATAGCCTTACCAAGTGGAACACTAAAGTCAATATTGTTTAGCTTCAAAATTTTGTTGAACCAGACATAGAATGGTGTTTATTTGTATCAGTTTGTGATTTTAGGATAAACACAACTTTTACAGCGTACAAATACAAAGTATCCAAAACGAGTTTGCAACATTTTAAACTTCATATCAAGCTGCAATATAATTTGTCACTCAAAACAAACTTTTGTGTATCCCTTACATTGCAAATCCAATTGTTGGATTCACTCACAAACAGGGCATCTAAGCCGAGACTAATTTAAACCTAATGTAAATTTTCCATCACGCAAACAATAGACCATTTTCCATTCACTGCGAGAATCACGCGTTATGCGTGAAATCAAACGTAAAAACAGGACAAACAAAGGTCATAGCGTCGTAATGGCGTCAAACATCGCGTGGGATTCGACAAACGCGAAGTATTTTGATGGACATTTCCATGCTTAATCATGTGCTGCCCACTTTTCATGATGGGCATTTTCGATCAAGTAAGGGTATTCCGAAGCAATATTCCTCTGTCGAAGATCGGTCGGTCGATGCGAGTTACGAAATAAAGAAATTCTAGTTCAAAATCAAATCGTTTGACTTTTGCAGCAGATGTTCGACGCGCGTCTTTCATACATCTCGCGAGATCTCGCAATTGTACGGAAAATCACCTATTACTAACATTTCTCCATTATCATTTTTCCAACACAAACATAATAATACATAGTTACCTCCAAAACAGTTTTAAGAACTGTATATGTTATGTTAGAACACCTCAGTGAAGACACCTATATGTCATTATTAATTTTTAGACAAATTGTAATTTAATTATTATGCATAAATTGTTGAATTTATCACATTACCTTTACGATAACATCCGAGTCCAAAATTGGTGTAGATATATTCACACCATCTATGATGTCATAGCCCACTGTATATGTTAACACTCCTCCATAAGACTTCAACTGAAAGAACAAAACACAAAATAACACCATAAAGTCTGATAAAATAGCACCTAAAATTTATGTGACTGATTTGAATTTTGCCCGAAATACAAAAATGATTATTGCATCGTTATCATATATCATCATCATAATGTTAATGTTTTAGTGTTTGTAACAATATGGCGGTGAAGTTAAATAGTTTTCTCACATTGTTGCAATTGGTAGTAGAGTTGTATATTGTCATATTCCAAACCACCAGACAATGCTTCCCAGGGTGCAATGAACAATAGAGTTGCCTTACCCTATTCCTAACCACTAGACAATGCTTCCCAGGGTGCAATGAACAATAGAGTTGCCTTACCCTATTCATAACCACTAGACAATGCTTCCCAGGGTGCAATGAACAATAGAGTTGCCTTACCCTATTCATAACCACTAGACAATGCTTCCCAGGGTGCAATGAACAATAGAGTTGCCTTACCCTATTCAGAACCACTAGACAATGCTTCCCAGGGTGCAATGAACAATAGAGTTGCCTTACCCTATTCAGAACCACAAGGCAAGTTTTCCCAGGATGCAATCATCAATAGTCTTACCTTATTTCCAAGATATTCTTGAGGAGCACTCCAATATAATACATCAGATCCAATAACTCTTTTAGCATCAGCATAGACAACAGACAACACTGAGTTGTCATCTTCAGTTGTTGTTACAAACATCTGCTGGGTAAACGCTTTATCAGTAATAGTCCAACCATCTTGAAGAGTTATCTAAGAAACACAAAAAAATACAATTAATAAATTGATTAATCCGATTTTTGAATACTGTGATAATTTTACGCAATCAAACCTTTTTAAGAGTCCACTGCATACATGTACTGTCATATAACTGGTTAGAATTCGAAGAATGAACACATAGAATTGGATCTTAATATATAACCATAGAAGTTGCATCCCTTATCTTATAAATCTTTGTCTACATGCAACAATGTGATATATGGTAATATGAGGTTAATGCACGGATATCGCAAAATAGAAGAGGCCTGTGCAGAGGCCTGTGCAGAGGCCAGTGCAGAGGCCAGTGCAGAGGCCAGTGCAGAGGCCAGTGCAGAGGCCAGTGCAGAGGTAAGCGCAGAGGTAAGCGCAGAGGTAAGCGCATAGGCCAGGTAAGTGCAGAGGCCGCTGCAGTGGTTGCTGCAACTTCGTACTATGAGTGCATTTCAGGTGTCCTTGTAATAATTTTAATACATTTTTGTGAACCAACCACTCAACATAGGCCCAGAGCTGAGCAAAATGATGAAAATTATTAAAACTTTCTCACTATGATCATAATCATGAAAATACCACGTAATAATTTCATATTTGGGAATTCACAATACTGCAAAATTATGGCACGCTGTAACAATTACAGTAGCAGATGTACAATTAAAATAATGATGAATGTAATGTAGAAGTGTAATACCTGTTCATTAGGAAGTGTTGTACTAACACAGACTTCAGTGATACCAAAACAGAAGCACTCTGTACATCCACTAGGATTGTCCTCTGCTAGGTTGAAAAACCCAGGTGTACATACATCACAATCAACACCAACAACATTAGCCTGCAGAGACATAAAATAAACATTCATTATCCTTTTCATCACATTTTTTTACTAATTATTTGGTGCCAATAATTCTCATTTCTTGTGTCAATTTTTATCTAAGTAGACAGAATTTGATATTGGGTTTTGTTTTTGATTATATCAACATTTTTTTTATAGAAACAAGATATTAAAACTATAATATTTGGATGACGACGAGCATGAACAGAGAAGACACGTAACTTAATCATTCCCACCATATTTTGTTACACCAATATTTTGGTACAAGATTCTGCTTGTTACTCTAAAATATATTTCATTTCAGCTGACATTTATTTACGCTGAAAAAACTTTTTGAGTGTCTTGTGTGCAATTTATTTTCACTCATTTTTGACGAGAGAAACAGATACATTCGTTGGATTTTATTTTCACTTAAATAAAATAAAATACTAAATATGTTATTTTTATTTTCTTGTTAGAACCCGATAATGGCAATCTGCGTACAGTGGCCACCACAAGGGCTTTTATAAACAAGTGGTCTTTATATAAAGGTTGGAATCTTTTTTTTTTTATGGATCACCAACTCATGTATTTGACATAATACTTGTCCAGAAAATAATATGATGGTACAGTTGCAACAAAAATACATTTACTTGAGAAAATCAAAGTCAAATAAGTTTGACTTGAAATGAGAAATTGTTATATAACAGAATGCCATGTATTATTTTAGTCTCTGAACAAAGGGCAAACATTTTGCTGAAAGGGTGGTAGGTTGTCTTTATAAAAAGTTGTTCATACATTATGCTTTAAGACTACCAAAAAGGGGTCACTAGTGTGTGTGCAGTCATTAACTGAGGTTTGACTGCATTATGTTGGTACGTACCTTACATACACATGGAGGCTCACAAACATCTTCGTTGACACTACCAGCAATACTACATGGACACTTCTGACAGTCAGGAAATCCCTTGTAACCACGAGCACATCTGTCACAATGAGCACCGGAATAACCCTCACGACAGAAACAATCACCAGGATTCTGTACAAGTAATGCAACAATAGATTATAATGTGACAAGGCTTTTGATGACGAAAATTTATTTTATCACTTTAAAGCGCAGTGGTCATCGCGTAGAGCGTGTTCAAAATTCATGTGAATAAACAATGTATTTTACACGCGTTGTATATGTCGCTATGAGTCCCATATCGAACAGGACGCGACACGACGACTGCCGTCCTTTAATCATTAATTAGACAAGCAAGAACAGAAGGATGAGCAACTCTAATGAGAAATGTTACCAGTATTTTTATTTCATAATAAAGACATAACATGTTGACATTATTCAACATTCTACACACCTCATAATTGCAATAAATGTTAATTAACATAAATGCAAATGAATCATAGTCAATAGAATAGTTAGAGATTAGGGTTTTAGCCTGTGTAGCAAATTTGTATTGAGATTGTATGACTGTATGTAGCGCCCTCTAGAGTTGGCTTCTTGCATGACATAGGGTCATCTGGCAGTTTTTAAAATGACATTCTGTTGAATCTCCTAAATTGAATTTTGCTTGTCTGCACTTTTACTTTCCCATTAATGTATTAGTGAATACACTACAACTTATACATCAACAAATTTCTTTTGGCACCTCGCCCCTCACCTGCCTTGTCATAAGAGCAATAATTTCATGCATCACACATGGCCAAATATTAATCAAAACAAAATGTGTCATTAAAATTATATTGTGTGTTTGAAGTCATGGCATAGTAAAATTGTAATTGTACATATAAGGAATATGATAAAAGATTTATGGACTGGACACGGCTTTTGTTGCCCTCGGTCATATGGCTTACGAACTTGAGCCGTAAAAGCTGTATCCAGTTCATAAAGAATAATGTCATACACAGTTAAAAGTATAACCGCAGGGATTGCGACTCCAATTATTTAAGAAGGACCCAGTTTTTCAGGCAAGCATGGGTCTAATCTCTAATAAAGTTATCCAGGGTCAAATTTCTATTTCTTAAAATTTTGTAAGTTGGACTCATCTTGCCGAGACACTAGCGCAAACCCTGTATAACCTCAAAGATTTTGCCCCAGACGGAAACAAAGCATCCATCTTCCACTACATCCAATTTCATACTTTGTATTGCAGCTAAAGACACCAATCTGATACACCCCAATTTATTAGAAATCATAAAGCAATGCACTAGAGATGGCAGTTACAAACTTACCAAACCCTCTTCAACATTACTGTCGTCTTTTACACAAGATCCCAAGACGTATCCAGGTTCTTCCCGTATACCGTACGCATTACAGTTACACACTACAATTAAAACACAGTTATAAACAATTCAATTTCATTCAAAACTCAGACCACTATATTGTATTTCCTTTATGTTACAAGCAATCCAGTAGCCTAATATATAGTATTAAAGGTGTACAGTCACCTGCATTTCATTAGAATTCCTTGAAATATCAAGTAATCTGTATTAAATATCAAATGACTAGTTATGATATTCATACAAGATACCTACATGTAGGTTAGAGTTTGTTTTGGGGGTTTGGAGGGGGTGGTTTCCCTCCTCTTGCCATTGAATTTCGAAAAAATAAATTACACCATCATTTCCATTGCCTGAATATGTCATTCTGATTGGTTAATTAGTGTTTTTTTTATTATGTTAGTTAGATGGTATACCACTGTGTTTTGCATTTAGAAGTAGGTTCCTAATGTGAATAATAAGGCCTGCTCTCAACTGAAATAAAATAAAACGAATGCCATATGCAGTGGCTCACTCAGAAGATTTGTTGATGCTCAAAATGCAATCAGACATGTGCCGCTAACCAGCATCTGTATTTTTATTAAATTATGTTGATTGTGATAATTTTACACATTCCAACATTGCTATTGCTTGTGTGTACTGGTTAAACTGGTCAAAATCTTTTAGTATACTGGCCTCTGGTGGTTATTAGTTTTCATGATTGCTCAAAAGAGAACTATAAACTGATGCATGATGGGATTTTTGTTATCCCATAATTGTACTGCATAACAATCAGATCCAGATCCAACTGGATCCATCCAGATCCATCTAGACCCATCCAGATCCAACTGGATCCATCCAGATCCAACTGAATCAGACATGAATAATTAGAGAACATCACAACTTTTGAATTTAGTTCTTTCAAGTATAAGAAATATAATATTTGTCAGAAGCAAAGGCTACTTACATCGACAAGGATTTGGATCAGTTCTGGCCACACCTGATGGTCTATAATATCTATCAAGGCATACTTCGCAGTTGATACCCATGGTGTTATCGAGACAGTCAATGCACACACCACCACCATCATATTCACTGTATATGTTTAAACTCTCTCCACGATCAGCAACTCCTTGGTCATAATAACAATCAGTGGCATGGCCATGGCAGTTACAAGCTATGTAACAAATATAAAGATAAAATGTGATTGGATTTACGTATTTACTTCAACCTCATGGATTGTGTCAACTCTAAACTACCGAAACCAAATATTATAGCCAGAAATCCTGCCATTCAGAGTAGACCTAAGAATGGTCTTAGACTGGTGAATTGCTATGTAACTTCATAGTCTCCCAGAATTCTATGTCATTACTAATTGGCTGCCTCCGTGACTTCAGCACATTACCAATGGACCTCGCATACGCAGACTCAATCGTACTCCAGACCAATTCACTCGTCTATCATTCATAGATCTTGTGTTAATCAATGGCATATAGTGTACCAATATTAGAGAGATGTCCTCAATATTAGTGAGGTAACCCCATTTTAAGTCCAAGTCAGTGATAAAGGCACACAGAATATATTGTCAATTCCTCTGCATTTTCCCATTACACTAAAATGTGAATGCTATCCATGTAACTGTAATTTGTAATTTATTCATTTAGAACAGTACATCCATAAATGGTTTTTCATGCACAGCATATAGATATAAAAATTAACATAGAATTAAACAATCCACTGCAAAAATGATGAGAACACAATAAAGAAAAGCATAAATAGGGTATAAAATAAAATGACTACGAAATAATATAATAAAATTACAATAAAAAAAAATGACAATAACATAGCAGTCCGAACAAAACGATAAAATGCATAAATGGGGTAAAATATGAATAGCTGATTTTCCGTACAACTGCGACATCTCGCGAGATGCATGAAAGACGCGCGTCGAACATCTGCCGCAAAAATCGAACGATTTGATTTTGAACTCGAATTTCTTTATTTCGTAGTTCACATCGACCGGCCAATCTTTGACAGAGGAATATTGCATTTGAATATCCTCTTTTAATCGAAATTGTCTATCATCAAATGTGTACAGCACATTATTCACATGGAAATGTCCCCCAAAATACTTTCGCGTTTGTCGAATCTCACGCGATGTTTGACGCCACAACGATGCTATGACCTTTGTTTGTCCTGTTTTTACGTTCGATTTCACGCATAACGCGTGATTCTCGCAGTGAACGGAAAATGGTAAATATGAACAAAGTAGTAAGATGTTGAACACACATCAGAATGTTTTTAGTTTCCACATTCATCGTACAAATGCCAAATTAAACCTAATGTTGGAATTAAATCCATTATTTTCCAGTGCTAGTCATTTCTACAGTGGTTCCTGTTTGCCTTACCTTCACAGATGTTACCAGTCTCCTGGGTTCCAGGTCTCCATGGTTTTTGACGGTAACCAGGGCAACACACTTGACACTGATCACCACATGTGTTGTGTTCACACTCGCAATGTAATGCCTACAAAATCAAAAAGTGATAAATGCTATAATTAGAGCACAGACATGGGAATTCTACCCTCTGCAGCATGACAGTCAGTGTGTATTATAAGCCAATTTGATGAGCCACAAACTCATAGATACGCATTATACAACAACTGGTTATGCTTATTCTGTGATACGCCAATGATGCAACGGGAAATCATACATTGATACAGTGTGTAGTAATCTTGAACAAGCAGCCTATCGGCTGAGATAGCTCCGCTGTTAGCAATGCACATTTCAATTAAAGAACTGAAGACATCATTAGAAAATGAACAATATGAATAGTAGCAATCAGACTTACAGTTTTTAACAAGAAGTCGAAAATATCACTTTTTACCAAAAATTACAAAAATATTCACCAAAATAAATTAATTAGAGAATTGAAGATATCATCACAAAATGAACAAATCTCAGAAAGTTCCACATGTAGTACCTATATATGTAATATCAAAGCAATTGCACTTGCGGTTTTCAACAAGAAGTCGAAAATATCACTTTTTACCAAAAATGACAAAAATATTCACCAAAATTAGAGAACTGAAGATATCATCACAAAATGAACAAATCTGAGAAAGGTCTACATGTAGTATCTATATATGTAATATCAAAGCAATTGAACTATTGATTTTTAACAAGAAGTCGAAAATATCACTTTTTACCAAAAATTACAAAAATATTCACCAAAATTAGAGAATTGAAGATATCATCACAAAATGAACAAATCTGAGAAAGGTCCACGTGTAGTACCTATATATGTAATATCAAAGCAATTGGACTTGCGGGTTTTTAACAAGAAGTCGAAAATATCACTTTTT